TGAAACTTGAAGACTGGGTGGGAGTTCCCAGATGCACCTCGTGAGGCAGGTCTACCATGCTCCACTCTGTTGGACGCGTCCTCATCCATCTCCCCACTGCCACTCCTGCCTCCCTCCACCTGTTCATGCAGGAAGATCTCATCATTCCCTTGCACACAGAGCCCATTGGGGATCTGCCAGTAAGTGGAAGAGGGTTTTTTTATGGTAATTTTTTTTATTTTAAAACAATCCAAATTAATTAGCATATAATTGAAACAATGATTTCAGGAGTAGACTCCTTAATGCCCCTTACCCATTTAGCCCATCCCCCCTCCCACGACCCCTCCAGTAACCCTCAGTTTGGTCTCCATATTGATGAGTCTCTTCTGTTTTGTCCCCCTCCCTGTTTTTGTATTATTTTTGTTTCCCTTCCCTTATGTTCATCTGTCTTGTCTCTTAAAGTCTCATATGGTGAAGTCATATATGTATATGTATGATTTTGTCTTTTCTCTAATTTCCCTTAGCATAATACCCTCAGTTCCATCCATGACAGTAGTTTACCAAATAGCAGATTTCATTCTTTTGATTGCTGAGGAAATACTCCACTGTATATATATGCCACATCTTGTCCATTCATCCATCAAGGGACATTTGAATTTTCCATACTTTGGCTGTTGATAGTGCTGCTATAAACATGAAGAGTCGTGTGTCCCTCAACACAACATACCTGTATCCGATGGATAAATACCTAGTAGTGCAATGGCTATCATAGGGTAGTTCTATTTTTAGTTTTTTGAGGAACCTCCATACTGTTTTCCAGAGTGGCTGCACCAGCTTGCATTCCCAGTGAAAGGTTTTTTTTTTTTTAAGTTTATTCATTTATTTTGAGAGAGAGAGAGAGAGGGAGGGAGAGAGAATGAGTGGGGGAGGGGCAGAGAGAGAGGGAGAGAGAAACACCCACACAGGCTCCACACTCCACACTGAGCCCAACGAGGGGCTCAGTCTCACAGATCATGAGATCATGACATGGGCCAAAATCAAGAGTCAGCCACTTAACTGAGCCACCCAGGCACCCCTGAAAGAGGTTTTCTAACTGGATTCCAGTAGGGCATCTGGGTCATGTCCTCTGCAAGTAAGAGGTCCTTGGCTGGGGCACGGTAAACAGAGCCTCTGCAGAATTGAAGGCTTGGGTTCAGGGTATGCCAGGGCCATATAGTCAGTGGGACGTGCACCTGCCAGCCCTCCTGCAGCCCCTGTGTGTCCATCCTGGCAGAGCCATTCATCCATGCTTATTGCTTGAACAGCCCCAAAGGAAGCAGCCAAAGGCACCCCACTCTGAGTCCCTAGTTGCTAATGCCTGCACTAGGCGCCTTGAGCTGAGCGGCAGGGATCAGGGATGGATAGGCTGGCTTGAAGACAAAGGCCTTAGCCGCCCACATGTTTCTCTTGCAGTAAGAGTTACAGCACCAGTGAGGACAGGCCATAGATGCAGAGAGGGCAAAATGATATTGTGGTTTCCTGGGAGAGTGAGGTGGGAACCCCTCTTTCCAGAGGAAGCGACAATGGAGCTGGGCCCTGAGGAGAAGGTAGGAAAGTGCTGGCAAAGGAGGGAGGAGGGGTGTTTGAGACAGAGAAGACTGTGGGCCGAGACCTGGAGGTGGTGAGGGAGGTGCCTAGGAGGGAACAATAGGTGTCTCTGCACAGAAAGGCTGGTGAGTTGTCTGTGCCAGAAGACTCAGGGATGTCAACCAAAAGCATTTGGCTTATCCTGAAACAGCTGTGGGAGCCAGGCACACAATAGAAACTAGAAGAGGCAGGCCTGGGCTAGAGCAATAGGGAGTGGCGGGGACTGGGGCGAACTAGAGAGCTTGTGCCCTGTGGAAAAGGTCATAGATCATTTGGGCCTGAGCATGCACTGCTTGATGTTATTTTTCTTAGACAAGTACAGGATTCAGGTGAAAGAGAAAGTTGCTTACTCTAGTGGCCTGTGACATGCAGCGGGAGGGACCCAAGGCTCATGCGCTGCCTTAGTTCAGGCAAGAGGCCTAACTGGGACAGTGAGGGGTCAGGTAGATCACAGGTGCTGACCACAGGGTGGAGGGCACATGGTGAGCTTCAGGGCCAGAGGAGGGGAGGCCAGCTCTGGCCACCTAGGAAACATCTAGTAGCTCCAAGAGGACGTCCAATGGGGCCTGAATTTACCCCTACCTATGGCCTTAAGAGTGTCCTTGATAGAGGGCATAGCTGCAGCCTGGAGGGTGCCCCCTGGGTCCACCTAGTAAATGCCTCCCCTCAGGGTGAGGAGGGGAGGCCGCACCAGCGTGGCGTGACGGAGGCCCTGGAGAAGTGAGCTATGTCCCTTATTGGTCACAGTACATTTATTTTTCATTAGCAGTTAAATGCAGACATGAGGGATTGTGCTGGGTTCAGCGGGCAGCTGACGTGAGCAGTGCTTGGTGCCGCGATCAATAGGGAGGCTTGAGGGCCACTCACTGCCCATATCCCTGGCCGGGACCCCTGCCCACCCAGCCCCGAGCCAGTAGGCAGGCACGGGCCATTGCAGACCATTGCTTTGAGCTGCTGGGAGGTGATGCACAGGGAAGCCCTGAGCCTGCCACTGGGGGCTCCCATTCCCTGCTGGACCAGCCCCCTGTGGGCCCCACTCAGAGGTCAAGCTTGGCCATCCTCTGTGCAGCCCTGGGTCTGTGGAGATACTGTGTCTAGAGACATCACTGGGCCTACCAGCTCCCCATTCAGACCCATACTCAGGAGCCCATGCTCTCCTTCAGAGTCCTAATCTTAGGAGGCCTGAGCCTGACTCAGTCCTGCCCTTGGCTGGGTAACAGTGAAGAGCAAGTGTAACAACAGAAGAGTCATGAGGTGGCCACCAGACATTTTGTGAATCCAGGGCCCGAGCCTGGGGGTCTGAAGTAAGTGACTTTCCCCTGGGACCCCAGATTCCCCATCTGTAAGATGTCTAGATGGCTCCTCCCCTCCACCCCTCCACGTTCCTCAACCTCAAATAGACCCCCAGAGGGCACTGGCAGAGCCCCAAGGAGGTGTTGCAGGATGGGGCAGGATGGGGAAAGGTGAGCTTTGTTTTCCTCGCTGCAAGTGTCGTTCCGAGGCAGGTCGGCCTTCATCTTGGAGCTTGTACAGGGAAGTGCAAGGGCGGCTTCCAAAAAGAGTTCACAACAGGAAGAGATAAGCTGAGGAGAGGCCATGGTCTTGAGGGGGAGGTGGCAGATGATGGCCCTGCGGCAGATGCTGTCTTGCTGAGCCAGCAATGCCCTCCACCTCCCTGTGTCCCTCCCACACAAGGGCATGACTCCCCGCCCCCATCCTGAGGGCAAGGCATCTGAGGCTCTGTGCCTCAGTTTCCTTATCAGCCTTCAACCACGAAGACATTGCTATGAGTGCCTTTTCTCATTTCATTCTCACAACAATCTAGGAATGGCGTGACCCATCTGGCAGGCAGGGAGACAGGCTGAGAGTGGGCTGGCATGCCTGAAGAAGTCACACCAGGCTTCAGCCTCTCAACGGGCATTCCCGTTCCCAGCTCACCTGAGCTGGCCCAGGACACCTACAGGACCAGGCGCGGATCCCCTCCCCAAAATCAATCTTGGGGTGGAGGGCAGACTCCCACCTTGGAAAGAGAGGGACCTTGTGCTAAACAGCAGAGAAAGGGCACTGGATGCCCTCTGGGCAGAGAAGGATCAAGGCCCAAGGAGCCAGGCCTCCTTGTGTTAGAAGCCCTTTGTGAGTTTTGGAGTGCTCTCCAAAAGGGTAGACTAGACAGTAGAGAACCCAAGAGGTAGACCACATGAGGCCCTTCCAGACTCTCCCGAGGGGCAGACAGGACCTCAGTGTCACAGATGACAAAACGGCTATCTCACCCAAGGTCACCTCTAGCAAGGAGCAGAGCTGGTCTCTGAAGCCCATGTTCTTCCCTCTTTATGGCCAGAGGCCACTGTTGGTTGTCAGGGTGGCTTGTGGGGGAAATCATAGTAGCCCTGAGGGAAACCAGGCCGTTGAGGGCCTATTTGGCGGGCACCTAGCTGGAGGCGGAGGGCACCCCCACTCCATCCTCCCACTGCCTCCCAATTCACCCTTCTCCACCCTCCCAGGGTCCTGCTGGCCCAACAGACCGTCAGACTGCCTGGCGGGGGGAGGGGTGGGGAGGTTACCTCCACCAAAGCCTCAGAGCCAATTACCTGTGTAATTAGCAACAAATGACTTGTGGGATGGTTGTGGTTTTCAGTTAAAATTAGAAGGAAGCCCAGATTCAGGTCTCCTTGAAGGGGTGGGACATGGCCTAGGTCCCTCAGGCTCCCAGACACACTCTCCTGGCTCCCACCCTGCCTGGGCCCAGCCAGCAGTCCAGGCTCTCCCCCCACCCTGGGGCCTCTCCTGTCGCACTGCCACCAGCACCAGCACCAGCCCCCTCTGCCATGTCTCCCCTCATAGCTGCCCCCTCCCCTCCTTCATTCACATGCTATTTTCTGAGCGCCTCCTACTTACCAGAATGGAGATGAGCCCAGAAGTGGCCCTGGAGGCAGCCGGGGCAAGAGAGGAAGGGACCCTGCCCTCCCCCACCCTGGGCTGCCCACCTGCTCTGCCAGGGTCCTCTCCGTCCCTCTGGCTTTCTCTGGACCTCCGAGGGTGGTGGGCTGCCTCACCAGATCCCTGAACTTCTACCAGAGTAATAATGAGCCCTAACTGCTGCTCTGTGTGGAGGGCATCCTAAGGGCTGGGACTTCTGCCCTTGTCTCATTTCATCTCTCTATAGTCTTCAGAAGTGGGTGGGATTCCCCATTTTACAGAGGGGACGCTGAGGCTCAGGGGAGCATTCGGTAGCCTAGATTGCTGGGCTGGAAGTGGCAGCCTGGCCTCACTCTCCTCCCATCAGCCACACCCGCTGCCTTCCCATGGCCCAACCTCAGCACCTATATGGGCACGTAGCCCCCAAGGGCCCTGAAAGGCTGGCCCCGGCTCACCTTCCCTCTTTGCCCCTGCTGCAGGTGCCCAACAGAGTGCCACGGTGGCCAACCCAGTACCCGGCGCCAACCCAGACCTGCTTCCTCACTTCCTGGTGGAGCCCGAGGATGTATACATCGTCAAGAACAAGCCGGTGCTGCTGGTGTGCAAGGCCATGCCTGCCACGCAGATCTTCTTCAAGTGCAACGGGGAGTGGGTACGCCAGGTGGACCATGTGATAGAGCGCAGCACGGACGACAGCAGCGGTGAGGCCAGGCTGGGGGGCCAGGCAGGGCCAGTTAACGGGGAAGCGAGTCTCAGCCTCGGAAAAAATGGAGGCCCAGAATGGGGCTTGCAATTACCCCTGGCTGCACACCTGTGAGCAGGAGGACAGGATATAACCAACTCTGGCCACCACCCCAAGCCCCCAGAAGAGGCAGGATTCCCATACTTCACACCCCCTATATATACACCGAGGCCTTCTCCAGGAGACCCCACCCTCACCAGAACTCACCACCTGGGAAGTGGGTTAGTGAGTAAAAGGGAAGCCCCCTACAAATGCCCCAGGAGGCTATGGTTGGAGAGGCAGATGCCCACCACTGCATCTGAGCCTGGTCTGGGCCACGGGCAGCCTGGCGAGAAGTGCCAGCAAAGAGAGTTTGGATGGAGTAGGTCCCAGATAATGAGGACGTGACACTCTGATCTCTGTGCCCCCATTCATTCTTCACACATTCCCTGAGCCCCCACTTTCATGCTGGGGACACAGCCACCACCTACAGAGAGCCCCGGCCCCTGCAGAGAGGTGGGCAGCATGGGGACCTCTCAGTGAGTTCTGGGGGCTATGGCAGCAAGAGGAAAGCATGACTGAGGCTTCTCAGGGGAGGTGACATGGAAACAAAAGGGTTATGAGAGCTGGTCAGGGAAAGAACAGGGGAACAGCATTCTAGGAAAGGGGCTCAGCAGGAGCAAAGGCTTTGGGTCAGAGAGGTGGGCATACTGGTCAGGGTCAGGAGGGAGGGTATGAGGTGTGCATAGGTAACAGTGGTACCATCTGGGAGACTCACATCTTGGGCTCTGGAGTGAGGTCACAGTCCTGTGGGATTTCAGAATGCCAAGTGAGGTGGCCAGAGCTATGAGTGACACTTGGGGCCCATGGGGGTTGGGGTGCTGATGGAAGGGGCAGACGCAGAGACGCTAAGGAGAGGGAACCAGTGAGACTGAGCTGAGACATGGAGGGAGGGGTTCCAGAGACAGAGGGCAGACTCAAGAAGTGCCCTTTCTGTGGGACACCCCATTTCCTGCCTTAGGCAGCAGGCAGCCAGTGGGGATTGGGCAGAGAGCCTTTGTTTGGGGTCCAGCACTCTCCAAGAGCAGGCCTAGTGGAGCTGACTATAGCCTCTCCTCCTCCTCACTGTTTGGACCCCAAATAAGTCCATTTCCTCTTCCTTCACCTTGGCACTTTGTGAAGCCCCCACACATGAGGAGCCCCTCAGGTTGAATCCCGAGACATAGCACGCATCCTGTGGGGGTACAGCCACCAGAGTGAGGCCAGAGCAGCAGTGCAGATGAAGACAGGCAGGCCATGCCCAGGACAACTCACACAGATGTCAAGGCAGGCAAGAGACCCCAGACCTAGAGGGGTGGCCCATGCCACCAGGCAGGAGGGTCTGGGTATTCCAGAGAAGATTCCAGAGGATACTTTCTAAGCATGAATCTTAAAACCTCCTGGAACAAGCATTTCCGAGGCCAAAGGACCAGAAGGTGCAAATGCAGGAATGGTAGCCAGCCTGCGGAGACCCCGGTATGGGCAGAAAGAGTGGGCCTGGGGGGCAGGCAGCAGAACATAGGGTTGTGACTGCACTAGAACTCTGTGGAAAGTTGGTGCTGGGAAGAGGGAGACTAAAGGAAGGGGCCCTGCCTAGGAGAACTTGGAAGCTCTCACAATAATGGGGATGTGAGCAAATGAACCCTGAGTTTTGGCAGAGGGTGATTTAGTCCTCAGAACCAACCTGTCATGTTACAGATGGCTCTGACTCATCCAGGGCCCCAAAAGGGCTCCAAACAAGCATTCTGGTCCCTAGAAGCCACACCCGACTTTCCCCTACAAGACTCAGCAGGGGCTGGTCTCCTTCCCACCAAGCATCAGCTCCCCAGTCAATGATTCCTGCCCAGGCCCTTGAGCTCTGCAGCGCCCTGGCCTCCACACAGAGGCTGCCTGCAGCTGTTTTTCTTGCAGTCCTCAGAGGTTAACTGAGGACCTGCACTGTGCCAGGCCTAGGTTAGCCCCCAAGATGATCCCCACCTTCAGACCCCAGCAGAGGTACCAGAAACCTCCCTGGCCCTGCAGCTTTAGAACCTGGTGGCAGTGTCTGCCTCCCCTCACTGGGCCTGTTTCCTCATCTGTAAAATGGGGTAGGGGGGCTGGTAGGTTGGTGGGGGAAGCCATGAGATCTCATGCACCCTGTATGAGCCCGGCTCCAGGCCTTTCCTCTCTCCCTACTCCACACCCAGGGCCCAGCACCATTTTGAGTCCTCCCACTGCTGTGGCAGATCCCCCAGGGAAAGGACAGGTGAGGAGGAGGAGGAAGCTACAGTCGGAGACCTGCCTTCCTGCATCGTTCAGGGCCTGTCTAGAACTCCTTAGAAGGCTCTAGGCCAGCCTCCTGCTGCTCCCAGCCTCTCCTTCCAGGTGTCCCCACACACCCCTCCTTGTCTCCTACCATCAGGAATTCTGGAATCCATGGCTTGGCTGAGACCCAGGTTAATGCCTGCATAGCAGTCATAGACTGGGTCACACATGCCAAGAGCCTCCACCCCAGAGTCCCCAAGAGTCTGCTCTGGTCTTGCTCCCTTCAAACCAGGCAGAGAGCAGAGCTCATGGGGACATATTTGCCCATAATCACTGGGGCCCTCTCCTGCCCTGAGCATCCATACTCAAGCCTCCCATGGCCAGCATATCCAAATTTGTATTGATCTTGTTGATTTTTCAACCCAAAGTGATTGAGTGCTTTGAGAAGAGATAAGCTCACAAACAGATGTCACTGCAGTGGGCAGTGGTGTCATGCAGACACTGAGACCAAAGACCCTGCCCCAGGAATGTTCTGTGGTCAGGCAGATATGGTAGAGTCATAGGTCAGCACAGATCCTTAGCCCCACCCATTCCTGTGTGGGTAGCTGGGTGGACACCTCAGGAGACAGCACCCCTGTCTTCACCTGACTTGTCCCCAGTTTCCATCCAGAAAGCCAGGAGGAGAGACCAAGCCTGAAAACCCTCAAACCCAAACCTGCTGATGCTATAAAAGCCCCAGATCTGTGAAACCAAGCATTGTGCGTTAAACAAGCTGGTTATTAGAAGCAGACTGGCGAGAACATGAGAACCTAAGCCCAAACTTGGCCTCAGAGCCCCAACCCCACCCCGCTAACCCTCCACCTCCCAAAAATACTCAGCACACCCACACTGGGGCCTCCCCATGTGCCCACAGCATTCACACACCCACTCACACCCCACACACTCTGGGGCCAGCAGGGACCATGCATCCTTTCTCTCCTGGCATCTGCTTGGTGACCTGCAGGGAGGAAGGCACTGTCTTCACATCCAGGACCAGCAGGACAGGGTCTGGGTCTGGATCTCCCCCTAAGTCCACCAGCTTCCTGGAGCATGTGGTGCTTGAGGCCACTGCCTGGATCTGGGACATCGTGGACAAACTTGGCCCTCCTTCATGGCAGCAGGAAGGAGATGAGGGGGTGGCAGTGGCAGGACAGAGAGGGGAGGAGATGGGGAGAAAGAAATAGGAGTGCTTAAATTTAGTGCCGTTCTCCCCAGACTGAGTTTCCTGAGCTCCCACCACCACCATGGGGGATGGAACAGTCCATCCATCCATAGACCTGTCCACTCAGGAAATGTACCCAGTTCAGAATGTTCTGGAAGTCTCTCACCATTAACCCCCGAAGCTTAGAGCAGGAGGGCCCTGTCTCCACCCCCAAGTGTATGCACAGCTCCTTCTCAGATGCCCCAAGACTCTAGTGTGCTTGACAGGTAGCTGGAGCCCAGGGTCCTTCTACTATACACACCCTATGAGGGACCCCCAGTTCTCAGCCTCACCCTACCCCCAGAGAATGCACACATCCTTCGCCTTAGAGAGAAGGGGTGCCAGGCAGTGCCCAGAACAGAGGGAGCTCAGCCATGATGACCTTGGCCAGAGGTCTCCTGTGAGAACTTGCTAGGGGCAGGGGCAAGTGAGAAAAATCTGGGGGCCCAGTGTGGGAGCTGGAGAGACTCATGAGGAGGGGTGTGGGCAGAGGTCAGAGAAAGACATGTTAGAGAAATTAAGGGGGAAAACAGCCTCCCGGCCTGTCTGCTCAGCTGGGCTGCTGCTCTCCCTGCAATGCAGCCCTAATTGAATTTCTCTGTTAACAATGGAAACACGTTGGTTGCCCGGCCTCTCTCCCTCTTTCTGATAAGCCAATGACCCGAGGGAAATTGGGGTCAGGAGGAGGAGAAATTGGAAACAGTCTTTTTTCACTCCTGGGGACACTGGTTTTGGCCAAGGGCCAGGAGCCCAAAGGACGGCAGGCATTCCATCCCTTCTGGGTCCTCAGAGGATCTGGGCCCCCCCCCCCCCCTGGGGCGCCCAGGTGTGGCAGAGGACAGGGGGGCTGAGTCTGTCTTTGAGAGGGGTCTCTTCAGCCCAGCCCAGTTGGGGCAGAGAGGGTCCCAGATACTCATCACTAGCCAGCTTCACCTTTGCAGACTGCCCCCTCACCCTCACCAGCGTTTCTTTCTTGAGATGGGCAAGTCACTGCCTCTCTAAGCCTCTGTTTCCTTATCCATGGAGTGGGAGCAATGCCGACCAAGGGAGTAGATTGAAGAAAATAAGCTAGCTTGTGGGAAACCCTGGCTAAGCCCCAGGGGTCTATTATCATACTACATAATCGCTGTAATTATATTGTTAATAGCTGTTACTATATTATCACATGTCAGGATCTACCTGCTAACCCCAGGGAGGTGAACCAGATCCTTCTTCACCTTTTTTTTTTTTTTTTTTTTTTTTTTTAATACACAAAAGCCCCAGGGCTCTCCTATCTACCTCACCCTTTCTGCCTTGGGTCCTTGAAGGCCAGCCCCTGTAGCCCAAAGCTCCTCTGTGCTGTTGTCTCTGAAACAACAGGAAGCCCATTTAGAGACATTTCTGTGACTCCAGGGAGACAGGCCTGGGGTAAAAAAGTATAATGAATGGAGGAGCTAAGGACTGGCTCCTGGCTTTCAGGAGGTATAAATAGAGTACCCCCTGGGGCTCCCCCAGAGTTCCCTCCAGGCTGCTCCTTCTGAGCAGAGTGGCCATGGTGGTGTAGGGACCCCACACATCTGGACAGCAAGAACCGTGTGAGGCTTGGCATGACTAGGACCCTGGCTACCCACCTCTCCTGCCCCCCAGGGCTGCCCGCCATGGAGGTCCGCATCAATGTCTCGAGGCAGCAGGTGGAAAAGGTGTTTGGGCTGGAGGAGTACTGGTGCCAGTGTGTGGCGTGGAGCTCCTCGGGCACCACCAAGAGTCAGAAGGCCTACATCCGCATTGCCTGTGAGTCCAGAGCCTAGCCCTTGGTCAGGGGTGGCCAGAGGGTATCACTAGGGGAAGAGTCTGGTCAGAAAAACCTCAGGGCCTGCCTTGATGGGTGGAGAAATTGCCTCTGCACACGGCCCAGCCACCCCCATGTTCCCCCTGGTCACTTGGCACTTTCTCCTGCCACATGCCACAGCCCCTGCGGGACCAGGGTACAGGGCCAGCCAGGTGAAGCTGTCATGAGGCACTCAGGCTGGAGGACACTCTTGTTCTTCTCCCAGATTTGCGCAAGAACTTCGAGCAGGAGCCGCTGGCCAAGGAGGTGTCCCTGGAGCAGGGCATCGTGCTACCCTGCCGCCCACCAGAGGGCATCCCCCCGGCTGAGGTGAGAGGGGCTCTGGTGCCCGCTCCGCAGGTGGGTAGGGCTCCCAGGTCTCAGGTCCTGCCTGCCCTGACGCCCCCAGGGGTTGCTCTCGCTCCAGGTAGGGCCAGCATGGGCGGGCAGTGCAGTGGCGTGGCTCCCTCCCCCAGGTGGAGTGGCTCCGGAACGAGGACCTGGTGGACCCGTCCCTGGACCCCAATGTGTACATCACAAGGGAGCACAGCCTGGTGGTGCGACAGGCCCGCCTGGCCGACACGGCCAACTACACCTGCGTGGCCAAGAACATCGTAGCGCGTCGCCGCAGCGCCTCGGCTGCTGTCATCGTCTACGGTGGGCCCCAGCGCTGGTGGGGCAGAGGGGCTCCCGGGCATAGGGATATGGGGTGACGACATGTTGGTGGCTCCCCATGGAGCCAGGGACCAGTGGACCAGGCCATGGCCTCACTGGGAAGGACAGGGAGAGGGCTTGCTGTGGCTGTCTGGGAGCCGAGGGGCATGCCTGGGCAGAGTTGTGGGACAGGTGGTAGTCTTCTGTGGCTGGACCATCCCTTGGCTTACCTGTGGGCCAGGGACATCGTGCAGATGGAGATGAGGGCACAGGATGGGAGTCTAGAAAAAGTGACAGACTACAGCCCATGCTCCTGTGTCCCAGGTATGGGAAGTACAATGTTCCAGGCACCCTAGGAGCAGGCAGAAGGGGCGGGTGCAGGAGTTGCCTGCATGAAAGACTGGGCCAGGGCTGGCTGCCCTGAGTGCTTGCAGAACCTGCTGGGAGAAGGGGCTGTGGAGAGGATACTGCCAGGCCCTGGGGGCCGGTGAGCACAAGCATGGGCTCCCCTCCAGGGCTTCTTCACCAGCACAGCCACAGTCCGCCCGTTTCCAGCTCACAGCCCCTCTGCCCTCCTGCCCTGGCCCCTGGGCCAGCGTGTCTGAGGAAGCCCCCCCGCTCCCTGACCCCAGTCCTTCTCTGTCCGGCCAGTGAACGGTGGGTGGTCGACGTGGACCGAGTGGTCCGTCTGCAGCGCCAGCTGTGGGCGCGGCTGGCAGAAACGGAGCCGGAGCTGCACCAACCCGGCGCCTCTCAACGGGGGTGCCTTCTGTGAGGGGCAGAATGTCCAGAAAACAGCCTGCGCCACCCTGTGCCCAGGTACCAGCGGCCGCCACCTCCCGCATCGCTCCTCACCACGCCATCTCCGTGCCCTGGCTCCATTGTGCCCACCAGCCTGCCCCCCATGGCTCCATCCCACCCGCCCACACGCAAGGCCAGGCTCAGTCCAAGGCTGGGATGGGGTTTAGTGTGATCGGAAGCAGGGCTTGGTCTGTGTCCAGGCTAGGCCTTGGCAGAGGGGCTGAGTCACAGAGGCTGAGGTACGATCAGGACAGGTACAGACAGTGTGGGGCAGGGGCAGGGCACCGCCTGAGGCTACAGAACCACCTATGCCTGGAATCAGAGGGTCATCGTGGGACCAAGTACCCTTGCTGCCCCAGGGCCAGGATGGCCCCATAGTGTGGATAGAGCAAAGCAGGCCCGGCATCATCGTGCCTCCTGTCATTAGCATGCGTCATCCAGGCCAGCTGGACACCAGAGGGTGTGCTCCTTACCACAGCATCGCACCTAGGTCTGGATGCCCAGCAGGGCCGCACTGGCAAACTGCCCAGGCTGGCTGCCCAGGCTAACTGCACCATCTCCTCTGTGTTCGTGTCTGTCTCTCATCTAGTCGATGGCAGCTGGAGCCCGTGGAGCAAGTGGTCGGCCTGTGGGCTCGACTGCACCCACTGGCGGAGTCGTGAGTGTTCTGACCCAGCTCCCCGCAATGGAGGTGAGGAGTGCCGGGGCGCTGACCTGGACACCCGAAATTGTACCAGCGACCTCTGCGTGCACAGTGAGTCCTCTCTGCCCCAGGAGTCCTCTTGAGTTTGCCAGGATTGGCCCTGATCAGCCCCCCTGCCACAGGCTGTATCCCCTTCTCCAAAGTTTAGGACCCTCGGGAACTCCCCATCCCTAACACACCCTAATACCTCTCTCACCTCTCATGAAACATGCATACGTGTGAACCTTTACCATGTACACCATGCCCCTGGATCCCCCTCCTCTCCTGCAGCTTCACCTCCACATGGTTCCCCAAGTGCACACAGGAGTCCTTTGGGGACACCAGGCTTGTGAGGCCTGTTAATTACAAGGCCATAACTAACAATTAAAGATCTCTGTTGGATTTTTTTCTCTAGAACCCACCCTCCCCCATTCTTTCAATTAAAAACCTAATTATCTGTGTCAATTCCTTTCTGATGGACATTTCTTCTATTATGCAAAGCCCTTCTAAAATCAATATAAGCTTCCTCCAGGCAGTCAATCACCCCCTCCCCAGCCCTGCCTCAGGCCTGGGGAGGCAGACAAGAAGAAGAGCCCCAGCACCACTGCTTCTGGCCCAGGGACATGGCTAGGTTGGCAGACCGCCCCCCCCCCCCACAAGAAGCAGATCCCCTACTTCGGGGATCCCAGGAGCTTCCGTTCAGCCCAGCAGCCCATTGGGGCTGTCCAGGGAAGTATCTTTTCCCCTCCTCCATCCTTCGGTAGCAGCAACCTCAGACCGAATGGAGCAGTGAGAGATGTGATTTGCCCAGAGTGACAGAGCATGGTGGTGGCAGGCAGATGCAGGACTGAGATGCACACATGCTGACTCCATGCTCCCTGCCACCCGTATCCCCAGCCCCGCTAGTGCTGATGCCCAAGGAGTGAGCGCCTCATCCTCCTGGGGTGTAGACCACTGACCTCTCCTTCCCGGCCTGCTGCACCCTGCCCCTCCCAAGGCCACGCTCTTTCCCGCAGCTGCTTCCGGGCCCGAGGACGTGGCCCTCTACGTGGGCCTAATTGCTGTGGCTGTGTGCCTCCTCCTGCTGCTGCTCGTCCTCATCCTTGTTTATTGCCGCAAGAAGGAAGGGCTAGACTCAGATGTGGCTGACTCGTCCATACTCACCTCAGGCTTCCAGCCTGTCAGCATCAAGCCCAGCAAAGCAGGTGGGGTGCCCCTCGCCCCTACTCCTGCCGGGCCCCCACACCAAGAGCTGCCCAAGAGATCACCTCAGTGCCACTCACTGAGTCTGTCTTTACCCTTGCAGACAATCCCCACCTGCTCACCATCCAGCCAGACCTCAGCACCACCACCACCACCTGCCAGGGCAGTCTGTGTCCCCGGCAGGACGGGCCAAGCCCTAAGTTCCAGCTCGCCAATGGGCACCTGCTCAGCCCGCTGGGTGGTGGGCGCCACACGCTGCACCACAGCTCACCCACCTCTGAGGCCGAGGACTTCGTCTCCCGCCTCTCTACCCAGAACTACTTCCGCTCCCTGCCCCGCGGCACCAGCAACATGACCTACGGGACCTTCAACTTCCTCGGGGGACGGCTGATGATCCCTAATACAGGTGGGAAGGACCCCAGAGTGCCCCGGGGAACTCTAAAAGGCAAGACTAGCCTTTGTGTCTCTCCTGGAGGAGGATGGGACAGCTCTGATGTTCTTCCTGTGCTGCTCAGCCTCATCCCAAGTGCTGAGCCAGGCCAGCAAGAAAGGGGATAGAGTTTTGGAGAGGATCCAGTCGCGGCTGGCAGTAGGGCCGACACTGAGGCCATGGCCTGAGTGTCTCCCTTCTGTTACCTAAGGGACAGGACTTCTGTCCATTCATTTCCACAGTCAGCCAGCCTGTGTGTGCTGGACTCTACATTGGACCCTGGGCCCAGAGGTAGGACAGGTGCCAGCCCCAAGGAGCTGGCAAACTAGTGGAGAGATGGCAGACCACAAACACCTGAACATGGCATCCCCCACCCACCACCTCGCGGAAACCCCTCTTGATAGAGAATCCACAGATCCCTTCCATAGTCATCCTTTTTTAAAGATTTTCAGTAATCTCTACTGAAGACCTTTTGAGGAAGCACAGCAGCCTCTGATGTTCCCACCTTGAAATTTTCTATCCCCTCAGCTGAGATGACCCCACATGCCCCTGATTTTCTTGCCCCTCTCCAGCTGCTCCTGGTGCCTGTTCCCTGAATGTAGGTGTTCCTGAGAGCTCCCTCCTGGCACCCTCTCGCCGAGCAGTTGCGCCTACTCCATGGCTTTAATCGCCATGTCTGTGCAGATCACTCCCACTCCTCCAGCCCCAGCCACATTTCTCCTGGGCGACAGAATCATACACCCAGCTGCCTCCTGGGCAGCTCCATCTGGATGTCTCACAGCACCTCAGATTCCTGATGCCTAAAACAGCACTGTCTCCCACCCTCCCCCAGAACTTCCTGCTTCCTGGCTTTCCCCACCTCAGGGACAGCAAAGTCAAGTGGCTCAAGCCAGAAACTGGAGGTCACCGTGACTTCCTGGTCTTTTTCACTTGTCCCCCCTCACCTCCACAACAGCTTTAGTCAGTCACACACCAATTCCATCATTCTTCCTCCTCAAATGTTTCTGTGTCCTCCTGGCTCTCCTCCCTACTGCCTTTTCGGGCTCAGGCCACCACACATACCTCAAGCATTCACCCAATGACACCAGACTTAATCATGTCCCTCCCCTTCTCCAACTGCTTTGGGGGCTTCACAGTGCCCCCCACAAAGCCCACATGACACAGCCACAGTGTCCTGTACCCTGCCAGCCAGCTACAGTGGCCCCTACCCTCCTATGCACTCTTTTCCTGCACGTAGCAGTCATGGTGGGCTCTCAGAACTCCAAGCACACCATGCTGCCCTTTGCACACACAGATCCCTCTGCCCCCATTCACTGACTCATCTGCTACTTCTCATTCAGGTCTTGGCCTGGCAGCTCTCCCTCTCTGTGCCTCATGTCCTCCTCACGGGGCTGCTAGGATGATGAGGTGAGATGGTCCATGTCAAGCTCTTAGGATAGGCACAGTGGGCACTCAGTGACCATCAGCCTCTCATTTCCCCTGGGGCAGGGGGGCTGCTGCTCCTCCCTGCTCTCCCCTAGCACCCTTAACCACCATCCACTTGTGTTTCTACCCACGGGGCTGACGCCTCATGAGAGCAGGGCCCATGGTTTTCCCTCACTGCCTCAAGTACTCAACATTAGCATTCATTGAATGAGTGTGCAAGTGTGTATACCTCTGCCACAGAGAGCATTCATATGTGGATCTCTGGAACTGCCACCAACACTGGCAGCCAGTAGCAGGAGGCAGCACAGAGCTGATGAAGGGAGCAGTAGCTGTAAATATGCCATCTCCTGGGCTTCAGTTTCTGGGAAGTAGTGATATTCCAAGTAGCCCATCTCAGAGTTACCCACTCGGAGCATAAATGTAAGCTTTTGGACTTGGTGGGATAAAGTCGTAGAATTCCTTCTCTTCCCTGGTCACTAGCCTCTGAAGCCCCTTCTGATGTAGGGACTCCCTGCCCTAAAAGAACAGGAAGGTGAAGTAGGACCACCCTTTGCCATCCCCCAGAGGAACTCTGCAGCTCCTGTCCCATTGTGCCTCCCCTGGAACCACTCCTCACTGAGCAGGCACTTTTGATGCTGCCCAGCAAGACCCTGCTATGGAAGTGAATCAGCCAGACAGAAGGATGTGTGTGCAAAGGCTCCCAAACCAGGGAAGGCTACCTAAGGACCCAAGTTGTTAAAGGCCCCAGCCCCATCTGTAGGGGCCACTGCCAAATGAGGAGCAAAGTCATTGTGGCCGAGAATGGCTATCCCCAAAGATGGCCAGGGCCGATGGAGAGGAGGAAAGCTTGAGCAGAGCAGGAGGGCAGGGCATCTAGGCAGAGGAGTGCTCAGGAAAGTGGCTCCAGAATGGCCAAGTATATGGCACAGGCTGTGCTGAAGAAGCTGCTGGAAAGGCAATTGGGGTCATAGGTGAAGGGTCTTAAATGCCAGGTCAGGGAGCTGGACCTTATACTGGAGGCAGGGAAGGTTTTAAGCAGGGAGTGCCCTGGTCCCACCCAGTGCCTTTTGGGTGATGGGTCAGGTAGGTATAGCATACCTGACACATTTTGTTCCAGAGTTTTCTGTGCCCAGGCTAACTAAGCATGCTTGTCCCACCTGAGTTCTCTCAGCCTCTCTTGGGGCCACTAGGACTCATGGACAGCCTGGCAGTGCCTGTGGCACCTCTGTCCCCTAGGCCAGGCTGACACCGGTCAGTTCTCAAAGGGAGGCTCTGGTAGAGGCTGGCAGAGTGGGGTGTTTGGTGTCTTTGCAGCCCTGGTAAACCCCAGCCCTCCTCCCACTTTGTCACAGGGATCAGCCTCCTCATCCCCCCAGATGCCATACCCCGAGGAAAGATCTACGAGATCTACCTCACGCTGCACAAGCCGGAGGACGTGAGGTGTGGGCCCGGGCCCTGCTGCTGGGGCTGGGCGGGTTCTGCCCTCTGCCTTCAGTTACCATGACGCCCCTTGCCCACCCACTGTCAGACTTGGTCTGGCGTAGCCATAGGGAGGGCAAGGAAGAACTGCCCATATAAGCTCCACCCAGCTCTGGGGCCACCAACCTGGGGTGCCGCTACCCTGCCCCAGCCAACGCCCAAGACAGCCCACTGATGCTTTTCCCTCCGCACCCATATTTCCCCACTTGAGGTTGCCCCTAGCTGGCTGCCAGACCCTGCTGAGTCCCATCGTTAGCTGCGGGCCCCCTGGAGTCCTGCTCACCCGGCCCGTCATCCTCGCCATGGACCACTGTGGGGAGCCCTGCCCGGAGAGCTGGAGCCTGCGCCTCAAAAAGCAGTCCTGTGAGGGCAGCTGGGAGGTGAGCAGGAACGGCCCTGAGCCCACCCACCTGAGCACGGGGCTCAGCGTGGAGCCTGGGCTTCCTATCTGGCCCTCGAGCCACCCTCTCCCCAGTCTGGCTGCTCCTCAGAGTTGTAGTTGGCCATGAGCTGACCCATCGGGCCCTGCCTGCAGGATGTGCTGCACCTGGGTGAGGAGGCACCCTCCCACCTCTACTACTGCCAGCTGGAGGCCGGCGCCTGCTATGTCTTCACCGAGCAGCTGGGCCGCTTTGCCCTGGTGGGAGAGGCCCTCAGCGTGGCCGCAACCAAGCGCCTCAAGCTGCTCCTGTTTGCCCCCGTGGCCTGCACCTCCCTTGAATACAACATCCGAGTCTACTGCCTACATGATACCCACGACGCACTCAAGGTACCGCGTGCCCCCACCCTGCCACGGGGAGGTCCTCTGGGAGGGGTGGCAGTGGGGAGGGTGCTCCGGGCCCCAGGCTCAGCTGACAACCTGGGGCGCGCCGCAGGAGGTGGTACAGCTGGAGAAGCAGCTGGGAGGACAGCTGATCCAGGAACCTCGAGTCCTTCACTTCAAGGACAGTTACCACAACCTACGCTTGTCCATCCACGATGTGCCCAGCTCCCTGTGGAAGAGCAAGCTCCTCGTCAGCTACCAGGTGAGGGCACTCAGGGTGCCTGGAGTGGGCACACCCGATGCCGGGCACGCCTGACGCAGCCTGTCTCCTCAGGAGATCCCCTTCTATCACATCTGGAATGGCACGCAGCAGTACCTGCACTGCACCTTCACCTTGGAGCGCGTCAGCCCCAGCACCAGTGATCTGGCCTGCAAGGTGTGGGTGTGGCAGGTGGAAGGCGATGGGCAGAGCTTCAATATCAACTTCAACATCACCAAGGTGGGCAGAAGGGGGCGTCAGCACTGCTGAAATGTGCCCGCACCCCCACCCCCCTTCTCACTGGGCCTACCCTACCACCAAGCCCACCTCCTCCTAGAAACTGCTTAGCAGCTTCCTCCAAGTCTCCAGGGAGAGAGGTGCAGATGCAGACGGACAGATGCAGACAGATGCAATCACAATCTGACATGGGGTAGAGATGGAAGAAGATGTGGGAGCAGCAGGAGGGATAGACAGAGCCACCTGGGGGCCCTGGGGCTTCCAGGAGGAGGAACTTTGTACAGTGCCTTGAAGGATGAGTAAGAGACAGGCAGCAATGAGTGAAAAGGGGCAGTGGGAACTGAGTGTGGAGGACAAAGGCAGTGAGAAGAGTTCAGTGAGTTCTGAGTGGTCAGTAGAGGTGACCTGGGGAAGAGTGATGGGGAGAGAGGAGGAGAATGAGGCTAGACAGCTCTCCTGCTTACTGGCTGTGTGACTTTGGATAGGTCACCATACCTCTGAGGCTTGGGACCCTCTAAACTCTGGTGTGAGCAGGGCCCTGGCACACCAGGGGTGCCCAGGAAATTGCCCATGCTGCCCCTATGCTCTGAGGTGGTCTGGATACTCCCCCAGCTGGAGGTGGCAGTGGGACTGGGCCATGAAAGTTCTAAGAGGCACCTCCACCCCTCCTTCCCCTAGGACACGAGATTTGCTGAGCTGCTGGCTCTGGAGAGTGAAGGGGGGGTCCCAGCCCTAGTGGGCCCCAGTGCCTTCAAGATCCCCTTCCTCATTCGGCAGAAGATCATTACCAGCCTTGACCCACCCTGTAGCCGTGGTGCCGACTGGCGGACTCTGGCGCAGAAACTCCACCTGGACAGGTGGGTGGGAGATGGGCAAGGAGGGGCTACAAAGGCCACCTGCAGTCCATCCTGGTGGGATAGGATGGGTGGGGTGGACAGGAAGCTCTGTGGGCCTTGCACCCCATCCACCAGCACCCAGGGTGGTCGGTGCACTTGGTCGAGGGGAGGTCCTGCCCTTGGGTGGGCTGAGGGACAGGAGGGTACAGCCTGGGGTAAGGCAGGGCGCTAACTGGCTCCTGTCCCCCCTCCCCACCCCCTCCACAGCCATCTCAGCTTCTTTGCCTCCAAGCCCAGCCCCACAGCCATGATCCTCAACCTGTGGGAGGCGCGGCACTTCCCCAACGGCAACCTCAGCCAGCTGGCTGCAGCAGTAGCCGGACTGGGCCAGCCAGACGCTGGCCTCTTCACGGTGTCAGAGGCGGAGTGCTGAGGCCAGCCAGGCCTACAACGCCTACACTCTCACCAGCTTTGGCACCCACCAGGGACGGACAGATGCCAGACGGGGCCCTTCCCCCATGCTCAGGGGGAGCTGTGTGGACAGGCCCCCTCCTGGCAGACACTGTCCCTTAACACTGGCCCTTCAGACCCTGCCTACACTTCTGCCCCTCCAAGGCCTGCCTGGCCAGGCTGGCACTGCCACCTGCTCTGACCATGCCCTGGCCTCTGGGGCCCACCCAGGGTGGACAGTGCCTAGAGCCCAAGCCAGGCCCAGCCCATCTGTGTGTGTGTATGTGCGTGTGATGCTACCTCTCCTCCTGCCCCTGGCCAGGAGGCCGCATACACACGGGCATGCGCGCACACGCTGGGCTCGGGACATGGCCCCCAGAGCTCCTGCCTGAGCTGGACCTTATGCAAACATTTCTGTGCCTGCCAGGTAGGGGCACATCTGAGGGGCCTGGCTTCAAGCCTGTTAGATTGAGGGCCACAGCTGGACAAGGGGCGGCCCCTGGGTTCAGGCACACGACCACCGCACGGGCATGTGCCCATGCATGTCTCGTGTTCTCATCTCACATACTCCCCTTCTCACACACACACACACACACACACGCTCATCTCATGCTGTACACCTGGAGGCCACTCACGTCTCTCACACCCAGTATCAGTCCACATCTGCCTCTCACATGCTGCCCTTCTCCCACCCACCCAGGGACACCCAATGGCTCCTCCCTGATCCTCCCCCTACCCCCAGCCTGGAGGAGCCCTGCCCAACAGGGCATGTGAATATGCAATGGGAGTCCCGGGCTGGACAATGGCAAGTGTGCGTGCCGTGGCGTGCCCGCTCCTGGGGCTGGCCGGTTCCCCCATGCGGGGTCTGTTGTGTGAAGCTCGTGCCCTGACTCTGTCTTAAGTGCATTCGTGCACTTACACTTGGCCTTATGTACACAGCCTTGCCCGGCCGCCGGGGTGCGTAGGGATTTTAGCGGACGTGAATGTAAATAAATTATATATATATATTGCTAACCCAAGTGCTACTTCTCTCTGAGAAAGCCAGAGATCAAGGCTAGTGGCCACAGAATGGCCACATTTGGGCTATTCTGGGAGTCCTGGGTAGCTGGGGACAGGTAGGACCTGGGCCCTGGTCCAGCAAGGGTAGTTCCTGGAGACTTCTTCAAACATGGTCCATCTGGGCAAGGCGACAGGCAACCGCAGTGACCAGGGCTGCACCTTTGCCAGACCCATCTTCTGACTGCAGGAAGGTGACCGCACAGCGAGGGGCTAGCTCCCTGACTGTGGCTGCCACCAGGCCGGAGAAGCTGTGAAGGAGAGGGGCTGAGGTAAGACCAGGCCAGCCAGACCCCCAGCCAGCCATGCCTCCCTGCTCAGCCCAGCACCCAGACTCACTGGGGGTGCAGCTTGTAGAGGGTCCCATCCACCCCCACGGATACAGTCAACTCTTCTAGGCCCCGGTTCTCACGGATCTTCTCCACCACAGCAGCCACACCCGCCCCACAGAGCTGGGCAGCCCGCTGAGACACAGCCTGGCACACCTCCAGAACCATCAGGGCATCATCTGAGGTCAGGGGCAGTCCCAGATCCTCCAGGATGGCTCGGACCTGCCTCAGAGCCAGGCTGTCACTGAGGAAAGAAAGGAAGAAAGCACAGAGAGCCAGAGTCCTGCATTAGCTTTCCCACCTCATGACATCTCCATCCTCTGGAATGGACCTCCCACCAACCAAAATTTTTATAAGCGGATAGATTCCTTTGGGAGGTGGAAGGAGGCAATGCAGGCCTCAGGTACCTTTCAATCTCAGAGAGAAACTTGGTCTTGAAGATGTCCCTGGTCTGAAGGCACTGGGTCTGCTGGCCCCGGAAGAGAACTCCAAGGCTGGTCAAATGCAAGAGAATGTGGCGGACGATCTCCCCAAGGTACATGCCACTGATCATCTTCTCAAAACTGCAAGAAAGCATAGGTGCACAAAGGTCAGGAGACCCCACCTGCTACCATAACCAGTGCCAGCCACCACCAGCCACCTCTTTCCAACCCAGCCCATACCTCTGCTTGCCAGGGTTGATGGATGCCTGGTCCACATTTGCATCAAAGCAGGTTCTGAGCAAGCCCAGAGAGCCATCATCCCCAAAGGCTCCCCACTCCATATTGATGCACATGTGGCCTGAATCCCCAGCCACACTTGCCACATTCCGAAGTTCCTCCATGTAGCAGGCATTAGTGCCAGTTCCTGCAGAGAGGCCAGACAGGGTGGAAGCCATTTACTGACATGGATAAGACTCCTCTGAACCCTTCCCAGACTGAGATGGCAAAATTTGGGTTCATGTCTTACCTCTCCATTTCCCCACACTCACAACCTGTGCCAGATCCTGATATGCCTTCCTTCCTGACATTCCTTCTGAAGACCCTGGAGCATCAAGGCCTCTGGGCCTCCACTACTTTCCGTACAAGCACCACCATCACTGTATCTTCCATGCTACCCCAGACCACCCCTGGGAGATATGTGAGGGAGCCTCCCAACCCCTGCTGCCTGCAACTGAGAGGCCCAATCTCCCTACACTGGCTTTCCACATCTTTAGTGAAACCAGCAGGTTCTGGCTGGGAACCGGGGACATAGGAATCAAGACATGAGGAGCCCTACAGTGGCCAAAGGTTGGGCAGTAAGCACATAACTCTGATAGTGCCTGTATGTACCCATGTAGAAGTGCAAATAAGAGCATCATGGGAGCCTTAAGCACCACTGAGTCTTCCTGCCTAGAGGGTCAGGAAAAGCTACAGAGAGGAAATGATGTTTGGATTTTACCTTAAAGCCAAGAAGCACAGAAAGGAAAGGCATTCTAGGCAGAGGGCATACTCTGGGTAAAGACATCCCCTCCCTCTCCCCCAGTACATGGTCAGCTCTAGGCAGGTGGTCTCCTTGTCAGCCCCACCTGGAATTCCTCTGACTAGTTGTTTATTCACATAGCAATCTGGGCACACCTCTCCTGAGCATCTCTCCATGCTAGGTTCTATTTTCAAGAAGCTCCCAGTTTAAAGGAGGCTACTACATACCTCCTTCTCTGGGAGACTACCCAAAGAGCTGTGGGAGCCCTCCTCCCCTGCCTAGACAACCCTCTCTCTTCAAGTCCCATTCATGTTGGGATCACTTCCTTTCTGATCTTGGCCTTGTCACCCTGATGTGTAGAGTCCGATTAAGCTCTCTCTGCCACATGCTGTTCTGGGCTCAATTCCCACTAAATGGTCAGTTGTTTGTTTGTTTTAAAGTTTGTTTGTTTTTTTTTTTTTTTCATTTAAGTAATCTCTACACCCCACATGGGACTTTAACTCACGATCCTGAGATCAAGAGTGACATGCTCCTCTGACAGCCAGCCAGGCACCCCATGGTCAGTTTTGAGAAGACAGGTATTTCCCCTGTCTTTATGTGGTTTCCTGACCTTTCATCCAGGCCCTATCTGGCCAGAGGAGAAATGCTTAATAGAAACTTAGGATCTTGGACTACCTGAAGGACCCCCACAGCTCATTCTGTGTCCTCCACCCACAGCCTCTACTCAGTTCCAAGCACTGTATATGTACCATGAGCTAAGCATTGTCCCACACTTTGTTGCCTCTTGTTTCATCCTCATGACCCTTGAGACAGGCATTATCTCCATCTTAGAAGGAAACTGAGTCTCTGGTGATTTGGCCAAGGTCATACAGATAGAAGTGGCAGAGCTAGTATTTCCACCCAAATCTGTATGACTCTAAAGCTCAGAGTCATTTAACTGAAGGGCAAACTGGGGCTCAGAGAGCTTAAATGACTGTGAATCAGTAGCTGAGCTGGGCTAAACAAGCAAAGTTTAGACACCCAGTCCAAATGAGTGTTGCAGGGCCTAGTTGGGTCAGGCAGGAAAGATGCCACATCCCCAAGACCAGGGGAGTGTCCAACCTGAGGAATCAACAGGAAGCAATGAATTAACACCAGGCAGTAGGAGCACAAAAAAGCAGGGCCCTCCTCACCAACGATGAGGCCGACCTCACAACGGGGATCCTCATAGCCACAGGACATCATGGTCCCCACCGTGTCATTGACAATGGCAACCACATTCAGCTTCACTGCCTGCACACAAAAGGATGCTGCTAGTTGCTGGGCAACGTGGTCGTCACGGCAACCAGCGCTGGACCCAAAGGTCTCTACTGCAGAGAGCCACCCACTCCACCCCTCTGGGTCAGGAAGCAAGGGACCCTTTGCTCCCTTCAAGGCCTGCCACAGCCCCAAGCATCCCTAGAGGCAGACTCCTCACCTGTTTTCGCTCAATGGCTTCCCTCAGCAGACACACAACATCTTGGCCCTCACAGTCTGATGCATTGAAACCCTTTGTCCAGTTTAGGAGGATGCCCTAGGGTGGGACCAAGGTGGGGCAGGAAGGTGAAGGCCCCTTGGAATCTCACTCACCCTCCCCAAAGCCTGCATCCCATCAGAAGCATACGATTTCCCCTCTCCCCAAACAGGATCCCATACCCACTCTGCCATATGGTTGAAGGCCTTGCCCTCTGCCCCTCCTAACTCTCCAGGGGCCTTCCTGTGTAAAGAAAGCTATTAATAACCATCTGACCTATGTCTTCTATTATTAGTGCCAGAATGCTCAGATGGTCTGAGAGTCTGGATGTTTTAAGACGGCTGCCCAGAAGGAACAGCCCTTCATAACTGGGTTAGGAATGAACCGAGCTGATAAAATGAGTGCTATGTATGAGAAGAGGGAGGACACAGAAGGCTCAGGGGTCCAAATGACAGAAAATTCTGCTCTTTCAGAAAAAACTAGCAAGAGTCACTTGAGATGAAGGAAATTGAGAAATTAGGGATAGAGCCGTGTCCATAGCAGATACACTTGTGTGTTCCAGATATGAGTGCAGGACAAATGGAAAAGCCAGAATCCAGACACCTGGGCAGAATGGGAGGAGACAAGACAGATAGGCCTTTATTGTGAGAAATTGGCCTTAAATTG